CGAGTGCGCTTTGCGCGTCCCCATACATTCGAACAGACAGACGATGTCATCTGTGTACTCCAAATGACAACTTTTCTCCAGCTGTCCATTCAATACCTACGTTTTAGAGCCCCTTAGTGCGCTCTCCAGTATTTCGTCTACGACGAAATTGAACAGGAACGGCGAAAGAGGGTACCCATGACGAACGCCGCTGCTGGTGACGAACAGCCTACTTAGTTCGTTGTAGACCCTTACACGACCGGAGGTATGTGAGTACAGTGACCTCAGTAGGTTAACGTACTTCTGGGGCATTCCTTTTCGAAGAAGGCAGCCCATCAGAGCCTCGCGGTCAACTGAGTCGAAGGCTCCTTTCAGGTCAAGGAACACAGTGATGGTTGGCCGACGGTATGACGCAGCTCAAGCATCTGACGCAACGTAAAAATCTGATCCATACATCCATGACCAGGCCGGAATCCGGCTTGCCGTTCACGGATGCTGGTCTCTCTTAAAGGCGTCAGTCGTCGAAATATAACCGAAGCTAGCACTTTGGTGACGATCGGGATAAAATTTTTCATTAAGGAAACGGGGGATAGGAAAAAAGGAAAACTAACAAGACACAAGACTACCTTCCACATGGAGCTCACAGGTTGGCCTACGGTTTACCTTGCACTGATCACTCCGTATCCAGGAATACAGTCAGCCAGCACGCATCTAGTTTGTGCTCGAAGCTTATCAAATTTGTTGCAGAGATCACTGCTTCTGGGAGTTTGTTCCAGCTGTTCACCACACGGTTTGTTAGAAACTTTGCTCGAAATTCCAACCTTGAGCGTTCTTTTGCCAATTTCAAAGTGCCCACGTAATGTCACATTGTCACTGACAGTGAACAGTGCAGCACCCGTATCAGTTATGCCTTTTATACTCTTAAAGGCTTCTATTAGATCACCCCTAAGGCATCTCCTTTTCAGGGAGAATAGGTTCAGTATAGATAGACGAGCTGGGTAGTCTTGCCCCGTAAGGTACGGGAATCACCATGTGAAACTGCGTTGAACTGCCTCCAGGACCTTCCTGTTCCGCTCCAGGTATGGTGACCACGCTTGGATGCTGTATTCTAAGTGTGGTCTCACATGTACCTTATATAGGAGTAATAACACATCTGGGTCATGCGGGACACCGGTTCTCAACGGTTGATACAGTGCGTTATTCGATTTACCAGTAGGCACCGTTTTTCTGACTTGGAATTACTGGCGACACGAATTCCCAGGTCCGTCATTTCGTCACTTCTTTGGAGTTCCACTGGGATTTTAATGTTGATCCACCGTACCGGTCCAGTGCTTTCAGTCTCTATCAGCTGTCTACACTTGGCCACGCGTTCCCTGGCCAGAAGATTTGATAGACAGGATCTCCTCGAGCGAAAACCATGCTGTTGATGGCAAAACAATTGATAATCCGTTAGATGGCAAT